AGTTAACTGAAAGTCTTGAGTCTCAATTTAATTTTTTTATAATTAAATCATGATTTTAACCCAATGTCACCTGGAAAATGCTGTGCTCATTTTAGATTTTTTTGTGAAATGACTCTGCTAGTGCTTAGCCACAAAGGAGTCAATTAGTAGACCTTGTGACCTTACCTGATTTCACCTTTTCTTGAATTTGTGGGATAAACATTTTTTTTACTATTGCTATCAATATCAATGGTGTTATTTTTAATATAGACATTATAATTACTATAATGTTAATGACATTATTAGTGGCAATATTAGATAACATAATATATTTTCAAAAATCAAGGAAAAGTGTAAACATTTGAGACAAGCAGTAATCATAATTGGCTCAGAAGTGACTTAGTACAAGTGGAGCCATCTATGTGTAAAAACTATTAATAAAGTAAACCCAAAGTGGGCATGGTATGTATGCACATGCCATGCCCATCAGTTTTGGGTTGATAAATTAGTTCTAAAAGAGCTGATGCAGCTACATAAAGAACTAGAACAAAGAAATTATTTATAAAACTTAATGAACTAATGTGAGAGTGGCCAGGCAAATATAGAGAGGCAGCCAATATTGCATACACATTCAAATACCTTTAACCTTTTTTTTTGTGAAATGACTCTGCTAGGTGCTTAGCCAACAAAGGAGTCAATTAGTAGTACCCTTGTGACCTTAACCTGATTTCACCTTTGCTTGATTTGTGGATAAACATTTTTTTACTATTGCTATCAATATCAATGGTGTTATTTTTAATATAGACATTATAATTACTATAAATGTTAATGACATTATTAGTGGCAATATTAGATAACATAATATATTTCAAAAAATCAAGGAAAAGTGTAAACATTTGAGACAAGCAGTAATCATAATTGGCTCAGAAGTGACTTAGTACAAGTGGAGCCATCTATGTGTAAAAAACTATTAATAAAGTAAACCCAAAGTGGGCATGGTATGTATGCACATGCCATGCCCATCAGTTTTGGGTTGATAAATTAGTTCTAAAAGAGCTGATGCAGCTACATAAAGAACCTAGAACAAAGAAATTATTATAAAACTTAATGAACTATCAAAAATCAGGAAAAGTGTAAACATTTGAGACAAGCAGTAATCATAATTGGCTCAGAAGTGACTTAGTACAAGTGAGCCATCTATGTGTAAAACTATTAATAAAGTAAACCCAAAGTGGGCATGGTATGTATGCACATGCCATGCCCATCAGTTTTGGGTTGATAAATTAGTTCTAAAAGAGCTGATGCAGCTACATAAAGAACTAGAACAAAGAAATTATTTATAAAACTTAATGAACTAATGTGAGAGTGGCCAGGCAAATATAGAGAGGCCAGCCAATATTGCATACACATTCAAATATTACCTTTAAAGCATGCCATAATATCTGTATTCAACAGCAGAACAGTAAACATGCATATAAACCTCAAAACAATCATTGATACAACTTCACCCAATGTTGCCAGGAAAATGCTGTGCTCATTTTAGAATTCTTTGTGAAATGGCTCTGCAAGTGCTTAGCCACAAAGGAGTCAGTTAGTAGACCTTGTGACCTTACCTGATTTCACATTTCCTTGAATTTGCTATGAATATTGATGGTGATATTTTTATTATAAACATTATAATTACTATAATGTTATTGACATTAGTAACAGCAATATAAGATAACAAAATATTTATGAAAATCAAGGACAAGGGTAAGCAGGTAAGACAGGTAATACTCGTAATTGGCTCATTGGTGATTTAGTACAAGTGGAGCCATCTATGTGTGAAAACTATTAATAAAGTAAACTCACAGTGGGCATGGCATGTACATACATGCTATGCTTGTCAGTTTTGGGTTAAGAAACTCAAGACATGCAACCTTTACACATGAAAACCACATGCCTTCAACGTGCTACATCCCCATCCACCCAAACCCTACCCCTCTAAAGATAGATTAAATATTGAAATAGTTTTGAGAGCAAACAAAATCCTCACCTTCATCCCTCATCCTAACCAATTTTACAGCCTACATTCACTTAAAAACATTATGGCAGAAGTCCTCTTTATGGCTGGCTTTGTGTGAATGTAAAACCTATTTTCATCAGAGATGACTATATTCATCTATTTAATTTTTATGAGTTATATTTTAATAAGTCATAATAAAAAAAAAATGAACCATTTTTGATATTGTCAACACAATATGGATTTTGGACCAAGCAATCATGTTAGCTTCAATAACTAGCACATGCAAAACATCAACAGACATCTCAACAGCCATGACCTCACAATATCAGGCAATACACCCAATGTGTTTTAGGTGGCATTTCATTCGTCTTTATCTCTTCAAGTGTCCCAAAGGACATGTCTTGGGCCCCCTTCTTTACATGCTACAAATCAATGACCTTACACCATTCACTCTTGGCACTAATATCAAGACACTCTGTAAACTTTGTAAACAATAGTTTGTAAATGGCTACAAGTGCTCAGTCTTCATTACTATGTAAGTAGGACTTTGACTGTTAAACAAGGGGACAAACAAAACCTTGATGCATGTGCTATATGTCAAATCTTGTAGATTATCAAAGGCTCTATCACATGTATTGCTGCATTTACATCCATGCATGAATTTGATAACATACATGCAATTTATAATGTCTCTTTTACCCTTCAAAAAAATAATAATAATAAATAAAAATAAAATAAATCAATAAAAAAATAAATCAATAAAAGAAAATAAAAGATTTAAAAACAATTACACGTTTCTTCTTAAGCATGAGAGTAACATGACTGTCTTCTGTTCTTAAGCCATCCAGTGTTGTTTGTAAACTGCTCATAGTGGCATCATACTTCCGGATCTGGAGCATAATTTGATCCTCCAAGTCTTGCCTGAAAAGAAATGTAGTTTAAACAAGGAACCTACTAGCTACTCAAAATACAGTTTACTTTGATTCTGCAGGTGCCACACCATAATTCAGCCCCACCATAGATGGCATCAAGTGATGTTGTAGCACACCGCAGAGGGAGTTTCTTTTTTTACTGCAAGTTCAATGTCATCCACAAGCCAAATTGAGGAAATATACAAAACTATCCAGTCTTGCAAAAAGTCAGTGTGCAATAACAAGCCCCTCTTATTATCAGATGTATTCATACCTATCGTTTTTACCATGAGTCATCAATATGCATCTAGTGCACAATGTCTCTGAATGCCTCTTAATTACAATGTACTCTCCATGCAACCTAAAGCAATGGTCACACTAGCCTTGTCTGTCTAGGGAACCTTTGACAGCCACACCAAGTGCTATTCAGCTACAGAGTGGGATTGGTCACACTATGCACCAGGTTCCTCCATGGAAAAACATTGTCCCTGATAAGACCAAAGTGTCTAAAAAAAACATGGATGAACAATGCATTGAAAACAGTTGTGGATTCTATGAATATCACCGCATGACAATTGAAATATTTGAAAAAAAGAAGGCACAAAACTAAGAAAAGTGAATCCACTTGTTTTATTAATTATCATATATCATACAACCTTGCTGCTACTCCGTATTTCAACAGAAACAGAAAATCCAATTATGGACTAAAGATGAGAGGAAGAAAATACTTTAACTGAAAAAGAGTAAAACCTTATTAATTGTTGATCATGACACAGCCTTGCCAGCAGTACAATTATACCCTGTGTAAAACAAAGTTTCATGTCCATTTCATCTATTATTGTTATTTTTAACTTTCTTCTACCTTGATAATTGTGGATGGTTTTTCATAATTGTTCTATGGTTCTCACTTTGTCCCACTAAGAAATAAATAATGTTTGAAGTGAGCTCTGTGCCTTCAGCAAGTCAGAGTGGGCATTTTTTAAATCTTGAAAATTTTTAGTAAGGTACCATTACTAGCGGTAAAAAAAATTATTTATTTTTACAATCAATTTATACCTAAAATGATATAACAATTACCATTTAGACAATCAAGTAATAAGCTTCCAAGAAATTAAACTACAATTTCTGTTTTGGCATCATCTTTCCCTCACCTATACAGTGGGGATGCCATGCTGAGCAGCGACTTTTATCTCTTTTTCTTTTACAGCTTGAGAAGCATTATGTAAAGTGATCCCTGGGTAGAAGAGACTAGTGTGACTGCCCCTTTGAATGACTAATGAATTGTGTACAACCAACATAGCTTGTGCACTTAAGTATCATATCATTTGATCTTTATTGCTGGTAGTGCTTTTGAGTTCTTTGAAAAGAAATGTACAAATTAACAGTTAATTTTTTGTTTCTTTGTTTTATATTTGGCATTTACCCTGCAAGATTTTCATTTCCTTTTTTTTCTCTCTCTATAAAGTAAAGGATTATCTTAGCTCCTTAACTAATTACTTAACATATAATAAAATATCATAAAACAGGGCTGAGTGTCATACCATTAATGTCAGTTACTCCTCTCGACATGCTTCATTTCCTTATGGTATCATCTAATTTTCTCACTGGAAATATAGTTCTGTGTCTTACCTTTTCTTTCTGAGTTGAAGTTCCAATTCTTCGTGTCTTGCTCCATGCAAAACCATTGCCGAAATGTTTTTTTCTAGGTCAGTCTTTAGGTCATCTAGGGTTATTTTGCTTGATTCTCGTACTTCATCATATTCTTCACGTGATGCTGTCCTTGTAGTAAAATATAAAAAAAAGTTCCCACAAAAAGAGAAAAAAATTTCATATGCATTATTATATCCATACATACAAGCACATACTAACAAATGAACAAACACATACACATAGTACTTTGGTAGCCAACAATATTTTGGGCTACCTTTATCTTTGAACAGTACAAATGTTGGAAAGAAAATTAGCAACAATCAAGATGTCCTCTAAATCTGGTGTATTACAGAATACTGTACAACTTACATAATCCAAAAGTATATCAAACCTGCAACTATTGACCATCTCCTCTTCAGCTGTATTAAATTCTTCCAATCGTTTTCTAAGTGAAGAGATAACATCTGTCCTTGTCTGGAGGCTCTCTTCCCTATTAGATTGCATCTCCAGGAGGCAGTTCTCTAGGCGACTGACACTTTCTCCTGAGTTCTACAATATAAATAGCTAAATGAATAAATAATGTTGGGAGGGGGCAGAAAATAAAAATACCATTAAAAATTTTACATTCAAGAAATAAAAGACTGTAGTCATTGACTTTTTTTTTGCCAAATTTAATTCTATGTGGAGAGAGGAAGTGATTCAGAAGAAAGACCAAACATAATCTATTGACACCAAATTGTTGAACTGACCACTGTGGTTTTGTTCTGTCAATTTTGTATACACATGGAAGCAGTTTGTCATCAAGGAATCAATTACCTGACCTCACCTATTTACCTAATTTCTTGAATTTCTAAGAAATGTTATTATTATTATTACTAATACAAATTAATAGCAATAATAACAGCAATTACAATGAAAACTTCAAAAAATGGGGTCTATTACTATCATGAATATTATTATTACTATTATCATTATTATTAATATTATCATTACTATTATTACTATTATCAATACTATCATTCTTATCATTGTCTTTATTATCATTGTTTTTGCTACTAATACCATCATCATTACTATCACTATCACTATTACAATTACATTTACTATGACCATAACATTATTATTACTTTCATTATCATTATTATCATTATCATTTTTATCATCATTATTACCAGACTAATATTATTATTATTATTTTCTTTTATTATTATCACAATCATTATTACCATTATAATATATATCAGTATCATTATCATTATCATTATAATAAGTATTATTATCATTATCATTATCATTATTATCACAATTATCAATTTTATTATAATCATTATCATTACGATCACTAATACAATTACTATTACAATTACCATAATCATTATTACTTATATCATTATAACAATAATAATGATAATAATAATAATAAAAGTAATAATAACAGTAATTACTATTAATCATTATTATAATTATTAAAATAATGATTATTAAATAATGTTGGGAGGGGGGCATTTTACTATTAACATTATAATTATTATTGTTGTTGTTGTTACTATTGTTATTATTATTATCATTATCATTATTGATATTATCCTTTTCATTATTACCATTATTATCATTATCATTAATATCATAATTATAATTATTATAATTTTTATCATTATCATTATCATTATTACTATCATTATCATCATCATGATCATCAGCATTAGCATTATCAAAGATAATAACAACAACCATGTTAATGTTTATGTTAGTATTAACATATACATTAATATCAGTGATAATAATATCAATAATAACATTAGCAATGATAGTAATATTAATATCAGCAGGTCCTTATGATTAATAGTATGATTTTTTTACTATTATCATCATTATCATTATCATCATCAGGAATTATAATTATTATCGGCATCATTGTTATTGTCATTATTATCATATAATTATCATCCTTATAAATATCATTATCATTATCATTATTATTATCATCATTATCATTATTATCATCATTATCATTATTATCATCATTATCATTAATAATATTATAAATATCAACACTATATGTATTACTTATTTTATACATATTCACATTATTGGTATTATCTTTACTATTAATATTAACATTATCATGCCATTATTTGAAGAACCATATCATAATAGCAGATGTCTTTGTACCTAAAATATAAACAACTGTATGGATGATATTGTCTTTTATATTTTGCAGAGATGACTATTTAACTAACAAGCAGATATAAAGAGTTTCACATTAAAAAGCCACATTAACAAAGTTAAGCAAAGATTGTTCTAAACTGAAAAATGAAAATATAGGCAGTTGGAAGTTTAGCTCCAGTTTGATGGGATTAAGATTAAGTAAATTTGTATTAGATAATTATGAAAAGTTATTTTACAGAAAGTTCCTGTAAAATAAATTTGACAGAAGTAACTTTAACATCTTTCTTTCCAAGAAAATGTCTTTTCCATGAAACAAGCTGAGCAAAACCAGTGCAGATTACTACAAAATATCATAAAATATGCATATTCTGCTCTACCAAAATATGCAAATATACCAACTGTGTGTCTAAAAGAGCTTTGGAAAAGGCTAATCGTTTTAAAAACTAAAATTTATGTGTGAGAGGAAATCAAGAAATGGAATTCGGGAACATCATTTTTGCATCATCTCAGAAAAGAAATATGTTAAATATATCTTGCTCAAATAGTATTTGAAGTGGTCTGTGTTTGGCACAGATTAACTAGTGTGTAATTATGATATCAGTTCTATTACTTCTTGCCAGTGGGCCTTTAGTTTTAATTATTACAAGGATAAGTTAAGCAGATATAGTAGCTGGCTTCAAATATTATTTTTCAGTAATAAAAATCAGTGAATTTATATAAGATTACCAATAATTTTAGCTCTGACAATTACAATAATAAATTCAGACTATACATTCAGGATCTAAGTCCCAATAATACAGGTATCTTGTGGGCAGTGTTATTTACAACTACGTAGTTATTAAGACATTTCTCCCATTAATTGTTAATGTTTGAATGTGGTTAGAATTTGTAAGATACCTATATGCTTGATATTGAATAGTTTAATAACAGGATACGACATTCTCATTTTGCTGTTTCAAAATATATGAAATGGGTTTTTGAATATTTCCTTTGGTCTGTGTTTTATATGTTGTTTTGTTGCTCCATCTGAGGGGAAAAGGTGAGATGGACATGTATATTCTGGGGGAGTGTGCAGCACTACTGTTTACATAAGGGTTACATATAAATGCAATATATATAGAAGGATATGTTAATAGTATTATAATATAAAGTAGAAAAACACATAATTATAAATAAGATCATATTACAGTCTGAAGAAGTTTTAGGAATTATCTGCACATTTTTATCACAAAAAGACCTCACTACAAAACAATGTAAATATACATTTTTTACATACCTTTGTCAGTTATGACAACACTACTCATGTTTTCTAAATTTTTATCAGACTTCACAATTATCTGAAGTAAGCTCAGGCTGGCAAAAATTTGCAATAATTAAATGTAAACATATTTCTACAGAAAATGCAATAGCTAAGTGAAATTAAACAGACCCATATAGTTGCTCAATCTCATGGATAACATTAGACACTTTAATGTTTTTAATAGATCTAGATCTCACAGTATTACTAATAAATATTTTTCTTTGCAGGGACTGAATGCTACTTTCCCTAATTCCACAGACACAAAAAGAATTTATCAACTTAACTTAACTTAACAGCATCTTACCGATATTCTGCCGATTAAAGCTGCCATCTGTGTAGCGTATAGGTACTCCAAACGAGGACTGAAGTAAAGGCGATGGTGGATCAGCTTTTGAAATTCTGCTAGCATATCAAATAATGCTGACTCTGAAAAGTTATAATCCTGTAAAATCCTGTGTTTGTATATAAAAGAAAAAAAGAAGAAAATCACAGTCACATATATAGTTCCACACCTGCTCGATCCTCAGCTGAAGTTGTTTTGCATGTTAGGAAAGGCACTGGTATTTGGCTGCAAGACTCTTGAGTATCTGTCTGCAGCTGTTCTATCACACGCACAACTGATGCTTTTTTTCTGATTGAAGATACATAAAATTCAAATAATTAGTTGAAGTTACATGCAGAATACAGTACCATTTTATGGGGATAAAAGTCAAAAACAAATTTATTGACATCTGGCTTCCATACAATCTTTTCTTATACTGTGTACAAATGCATATAGCAATTGAAAGTATGTTACTATCACAATGAATGCTCAAAAAAAAAAAAAAATAATAATAATAATAAAAAAAAAAGAGAGAGAGCGAGAGAGAGCGAGAGAGAGAGAGACAGAGTGACAGAGGGACAGAGAGACAGAGAGACAGAGAGAGTGAGAGAGAGAGTGAGAGAGAGCAAGAGAGAGAGTGAGAGAGAGCGAGAGTGAGAGCGAGAGTGAGAGAGAGAGAGAGAGAGAGAGAGAGAGAGAGAGAGAGAGAGAGAGAGAGAGAGAGAGAGAGAGAGAGAGAGAGAGAGAGAGAGAGAGAGAGAGAGAGAGAGAGAGAGAGAGAGAGAGAGAGAGACAGAGAGAGAGACAGAGAGAGAGACAGAGAGAGAGAGCGAGAGAGAGCGAGAGAGAGCGAGAGAGAGCGAGAGAGCGAGCGAGAGAGAGAGAGAGAGAGAGAGAGAGAGAGAGAGAGAGAGAGAGAGAGAGAGAGAGAGAGAGAGAGAGAGAGAGAGAGAGAGAGAGAAAGAAAGAGACAAAGAGAGAAAGAAAGAGACAAAGAGAGAAAGTGAGAAAGAGTGAGAGAGAGAGAGAGAGAGAGAGAGAGAGAGAGAGAGAGAGAGAGAGAGAGAGAGAGAGAGAGAGAGAGAGAGAGAGAGAGAGAGAGACAAAGAGACAAAGAGACAAAGAGACAAAGAGACAAAGAGACAAAGAGAGAGAGTGAGAAAGAAAGAAAGAGAGAGAGAGAGAGAGAGAGAGAGAGAGAGAGAGAGAGAGAGAGAGAGAGAGAGAGAGAGAGAGAGAGAGAGAGACAAAGAGACAAAGAGACAAAGAGACAAAGAGACAAAGAGACAAAGAGAGAGAGTGAGAAAGAAAGAGAGAGAGAGAGAGAGAGAGAGAGAGAGAGAGAGAGAGAGAGAGAGAGAGAGGAGGAGGAGGAGGAGGAGGAGGAGGAGGAGGAGGAGGAGGAGGAGGAGGAGGAGGAGGAGAAGAAGAAGAAGAAGAAGAAGAAGAGTGAGTGAAAGGATGAAGCTAATATATGTGTGGTGTAGTAGCAGTTTTAGTTAATGAATCTGCAATCGTAAACATCAAAAGGCTTTTCTTATTTAACAATTTTAAATATCTCATTTGCTTCATATGTCTAATAATAATTACCTATCAATAAGTTCCAGACTCTTTGTGTTAATGTTATTTCCTGCTTTGGTGGCCTCTTCACCCATGGTTAAAGA